CTTATGGGTTTCTTTTCTTTGTGGTTATTTAGTTTTAAAATTCTTCCAACTGTCATTTTGGTATTGTTTTAGAAAGAAAGCCAGATGTGTGACTTAATAAGCCATATTATCTGTTAATTTCCTTTTCTTCCCTTCTCTAATCTGCAATCATCAGATCTTTTGTGGGTTTTGTTTTGCTTTGTTTGCTTGTATGTGTGTGTGTGTGTATGTGTGTGTTTCTGAGACAAGGTCTCTTGTAATCTAGTCTGACCTTGAACTACTATGTAGTCCAGACTAACCTTGAACTCCTAAACTTTCCACCTTAACCTCCTGAGAGCTGGAATTACAGGCATGTGGCACCATCCCTGTCTATCTGTTGATCTTTACCTCTCTGTGGGTACTTAAAATGCATCATTTGGAAAAAAAAAATGTATTATTTGGTACATGGCTTAAAGAATTAATGAGTCACCAAAAGATAGACCCAGACCTGAATTGGACCAATGGATTTAACCTGTGTATTCTAACAGGGTACTTTCCACAGGAAGCAGACAGAGCCCAGGAAAGTTGTGAGAGATAACAGAAAGTTTTGCTCTGATAACGTAGGTCTGTAGAGCACTGCCCAGGAAGGACAGTAACACAATCCAGGCTCCAGGAATCCTTCTTTGGACTTTTTTTTTTTTTTGGTCTTTTTGAGACAGGGTCTCCCTGTAGCCCCAGCTGTCCTGGAACTCACTATTAGACCAGGCTGGCCTTGAGCTCACAGAGATCCGCCTGCATGGGATTAAAGGCGTGCACCACCACACCAGGTTATTTTTTTATTTTATGTGTATGTGTGTATTGCCTGCATGTAGGTAAAGTGCACCTGTGTCATGCAATGCCCATGGAGGACAGAAAAGGCTCCCCTGGAACTGGAATTACAGACGTTATTAGCTGCCATGTGGGTGCTGGGATTCAAACTGGGGTCTTCTGCAAGAACAGTCAGTGTTCTTAACCGTTTAGCCATCTCTCCAGCCCCCTTCCTTGGACTTTTCTAATCACGTGGAGGAAAAGTGAAGTCCCTGTAAGGCCTGGCTGTGGTGGGGGGGGGGGGGGGGTAGGCAGCATTGTTCTGCGAACAGCAATAGGAAGAACGTTGCTGGCCCATGAAAAAGGAGTTAAATGAGGAGGAACGCCCTGGCCTATGATCTGTGTACAGCCCAGTCCTTCTCTGCCGACCTGGGCCTTTGCTTTGTGGATCTATGCCTATTAAAGTTAGGTTTGGATACCTGAAATTTGCTGAGTGTGGTGATGCAATGCCCAGAATCTCAGCACTTGGGAAACAGAGATAAGAGATGATTACTAGTTTGAGGCCAGCCTGGGCTACATAGTGAGTTCCAGGCCAGTCAGGGCTTTAGTGTGAGACCTTTGTCTCAACAAGCAAAACAGAAAACAACAAAACCCTTGAAATTTAGTAAATTACAACTCATGTATCAAACCAAATGCACAAAGCAAAAAGTTTCATGAAGGTTTTTGTTACTATACACAGTTACAAAAAATTCCCACAGAATTATAAACACTTAGGTATTTACAACCAATTAAAGCTAAAACTTTAGAAGACATTAAAAAATAAAAACATAGCTTTTCTCTCCATAATGGTCTGGATATAAGGTAACTTAAAATAGGGCAATAGTAAAGTATATACCAGCACAATTCATATTCTGAGTCTTGAGGAAAGGGAAGGCTAGAGCAGGCTGGGATGAAAGGAGACTGTGGAGAGAGGTTTAAATTTGAGTTTTTTGTTTGAAGTTTTCAGAGTTTTAAATTTAAAAATTTTACTTTTACTTTATGTGTATGAGTGTTTTGCCTGCATATATAGGTGTATCACAGTAAGCAGTATTCCTCAGTAGCCTGTGCTTCAGTTCCTGCCTCCAGGTTCCTGCCACAGCTTCCTTGGATAACAAACTGTAAGAGGTATTAACCCTTTCCTCCCCAAGTTGGTTTTGGTCAGTGTTTTATCACAGCAATACAAAGCTAACTAGGACATGTGAATTTGTGAAATAAAATAAAAACCAAAGTGCTTCAAACATTCTCACATTTTACTGTAGTACACACTTCTTGTCTGATCTTGTCTGTGGTTTATGCCTTGTGCTGCCAATTCTACAAGGAACCACTTACTTCTGAAGAATAGTGCCTCAGTAGAACAGGCCCTGTCCTAAGAAGCCATTCTGGGAAGTAATACTGGGCTCTTGGCTTTTACAAACTGGAGACACAGTTCTGACTACCCCCAGAGTACGAATAAAAAGTGATGAGCCTTGGTAAATATACTAGCTGGAAATTAATATTCCTTGGTTATTGGGCATGAAAAGTCACCTTATGAAATATCCAATTACTGTCTGTGCAACATCTCACAATCCCCTGCTAGACATACATGAAATCCCCCAAGATTCTAAGGGTAAAATGTTAGGGTAAGGGGCATCTTTCTCCCATGTGGCCTCTCATGAGCAGCTGTGTTTCTTGAAGGTGCAGAGCCCAGCCTTCCTTTCTGGTCTATGTTCTTATTGTCTTTGGTCTCCTAGTTAGTCACCCTCGATAGACTATGACCTCCTCTAGGGCTAATTTCATCCAGACTAAGTTGCCAGCTAAAATGCCAACTTTAAAATAAAATCTTAATTTGGGATATTCTATGTTGTCTGAGCCAATTTTTCAAAATGGTAGATACCATTTTAGGTCTGACGGTTTTATCTGGGCCTGGGACATAATACAACAAACCTAAGGTCCCTCTGTGAAACTGGATGTGGTTATTACAGGTCATGAGCCCCTTCTGTTAGTCCATCTAAGCAATAAAACACTGTCAGAAAGACACTCTCCTGTCACATCCTCTCAAAGCTTTGTTCAGCTGGGGTACTATATGCCCTGCATCCTGTACCTGGTGCTCCTTGATATTTGGAGCCCTCAAGTATTCAGGTGACATAATAAACTAAGAGAACTCAGATGAAGTGAACCCTTAGCAGATGGTGTTCCTAAAATTAACATAAACTTCCAAGCTGAATTCTTATAATACCCAACTTGTCTTAGAATTCTAAAGTAGAAACATTCTCAATCCAAAGTATAGGGTCTAAATGTTACAGGGGTTTAACATAAAAAAAAAACTCAGGACTGGGACTGGAGAGATGGCTCAGCAGTCAAGAACACTGTTT